ATTTAAAACTCCTGAATTTATATCCTAGCTATCTTATACTAAATTGGTTAACTGTAACTTATCTCATATACCGGAGCTATTTAAGTTGCAAAATGTTTAGTAAAGTGATCAAAAACTATATAGTTCTTCCATCTGTTCACAATTACTATAATATAAAGTTATGAAATATTGGTATAATTATTATATATTGAAGTAGTCTTTAAAAATATAAGTGATTTATTTAAAAAATTATAACTTTAATATCAGCTAAAACTTAACAAAAATCGAATGCATTTAAGCTGTTGCAATTCATGACGAGCGGTTTCTACGTTGGAAGTGCGTTGGTACACGGTCCATTACGTCGCGAGCTTTGTCGGCATATATATTAAGCAAGTAGTGGAGTATTATCCATCGAGGTTTGTAGCTATAAGAACAAACGCCCAGCGGTTATAGTGTTCATTTTATTGTCGGAGCAATCTTGCGTCCTCAATTGTGATAGATTTTTCTGTGTAGGGAGTGACATGATGAAAGACCCACTCTCTGAACCGCTTACGAGTCTAACAAGTTCAGAGCCAGCTTTGCGATTAATGTCGATTTAGTAATAATTGAAATTAACATATGCAAATCGAATGTAAATTAAATATATAACAAAACGTTAAATGAACTAAAACCGTTTACAAAGCAGAAAAGTTTTGAAAGCCAATCTTTTATGGGTGATCGAGCCGTCACCAGTAGAGGCAGCAGCGACATCCATTTCGAAACACTTATCAGGCTGTTGTGGTGGCTAACCTTGTGAACAATGTACGCCTGCCCTAAGAATAATTTTGTAAAAGTGGGAGGATTTTAAGAATCCCCGCTCTCTGAGGTATAATCAAACTGTGTCTGTATAACCTCCCTACCAGATCAAGTATGCGCCACATAAATAAAACACACAGATAAGTCTTTGAGACAGATGTTGTATAAATGTTAATATCATTACTTTGTGTTAAATTAGATCTGCTATTCTGTCTGCCTTTTATGATGACCGTTATAATTAGTCCTAATTAGATCTATTATTAAACAACGTCAGACAACAAGCCGAATGTTGATGGATTTATATCCTATATATTACTACTGTATGGTGGAAAGCGGCAATAACAAACGATCAGTAAACTCAAAAAAGAACATAAGATTGTCTACAAAACTGCATTGCTCCAGGTATCTTTGATTTATTAATTTTTTATAAAAAGATGAAAATATTAACTGGGTCAAAGGGACACCAACAGGGCGCAAGCCCAAGTGGTATGTAAAGTAGGTAAACAATATTTATAAATATAAGGGTACTATTCCAACAGTATCTCTGCCCTGAAATGCATGACCCTACACCATGAAAATATAACAGATTCGGAGCCAGATATCATAAAATATATATACATGCACTCAATAGAATCTGTAGATTAATAGGCCTGTGAATTCCAAGTTGAGATGTGCAATTTAAGAATAACATACGTTATAAGGTACCCGTCATTACAAATGATTCGTTTTCATTTCGTTGTATAACGCTGCAGCTCGCTCTAGTACGACCACAAATGTCAAGGCATACCACATTATTCGGCAAAACTGGACATAGCATCTCTTCTATACCTCACCAACGTAATCTCTGTATCAGCCGTTAACAACTATTGAGCACATACTTGATACAGGAATCTGCTCGCGGAAGTGCTGGAAGTCTGCCCGCGAAGGGCTCATGCTCAAAGATCAAGCCGCGTTGAACACAAGGAGTTTTCGCAAGACGCAAGACGAGATAGCTCTATGACAAGTTCGAGAGTACGCTGCAGGGTTTCCAGATCCCTGTTAATTGATGAGTACGTGAGTTAGAGCACTAGAAAGTCATTTTTGCACATGGCATTAAACTTAAAATTGTAAATTTGTAAACTTTAACCTATTACACAGGTATGTTGCTGTAAATCATAAGCTAAACGCATGTAATAATTTATAGGCTAGAGGTGTACACGATGTGCAAATTTTTATAAAGTGTCATCCGACTCCTCAATAGGATACATTTTGAAGTTTGTTTGATATTTGCTACTGCACAATAAATCCTATCTGAAGTGCTGAATGCACATCAGATCGTTGTGCATGTATATCAAGCCTGCTCGTCTCATGTCATGGCATATAGAGGCATTACCAGCAAAGCTTTACATGAAGCATAATGCTATATAACCAAAGTTAATAGCAAGAAGTGGAATTATTGGGGTGGAGGGTCGTCTTATTGCTGCGAGTAGTGTTAGACTCAAACAATCGTCATGCCATTAAAACATTGCCATATTGGAAAAGCATAGAGCTTCTGCGTTAATATATTCAAATTTGTGTATTTTTGTCACTTCGTAGATATATAATGTATTCATGAATTGTTCAATTGGCTTTAACACTTTTTCATGTTTACAAATTTCACTTTAAAGAGCAATTGTGTTGCAGCTACTATGCATGGTAATGATGAAAGCTGGCATTGCTAACGTCATTTTTTGTAGTCTTGCATATTATTATATCAGAATATATGTAAACAATGATGCAACTTAATAACTGGAGGCAATTGATTACAAGCTGTTTTTAGTCAATGTTTACTATGATAGTCACGTTGATCCCTTCGTATCTGATTATATTAAATAAGTTTGGAAATAAATTTTATATTCCACAAAAATTATCATTCATAATTGTTCTTTATAACTACAATATTTGAATTTTGTTTGATGTTGGGTGACTTGATCTTCTATAAAATACATATATTTTCTGTTGTTGCAAAATTAATAAAACACACATAATAAGAATATAAATTATTCACGACAAAAAATATATTACTACGAGTTTACATCAAATGCACAGCTGCAACTAATTTAAAATACCACAGTCATACATGCACCATAATTATTGCAATATAGCAACTGTGTAATTGTAATAAGTAAATATAAATTATGAAATTTAAAAGATTTGTGAAAAAATACAATCTACTTATCTAGTATTGTATGATATAACCTAGTTAAGGTAACATAATACGATTATTTCTGATAAAGTGAATATTTTACTTCCAATTTTTGCTAAGCATATAATTATATAATTTTTTAATTAGTTGCAAACTTCAGTGTGCATATAATACACGAAATACTAATTTAAAAGGACTTAAGAAAAATTTAAAGTTAAATATTAAAAAAAATCGTTAAATGAATAAAATAGCACAACATGACGATAGTAAATGAGATGCACAACATCACCACTTTCATATTGCTAAGAGACTTGAATAATTCCGCGTGTCTTCTCAAGTACGTGTAGTGAAAGTGTGCCAATGTCCAAAGTGCGGCCAAACATATTAGACTCCTTCGAATCAACACGAACATTATATAGGTGATTCCAAAATCTGAATGGCTGTGATGTGTAAATATTAGCAGACACTAGGTTATAGATCGTTCTATTTAGATTAAGAAATATAATGAATATCTTCTATGCCACACACCTGAAAAAGCTCGTTAGCTAATACTCGTACAAGCTCAACTTTATCATGTTGCACATCAATTGCACTACCAATTTACCGAAAGCTTCAAGTACTTCATGTTGTATTCTCTGCACAATGCGTTGGCTTGCCCTGCTTTTTGGGACACCAGCTACTGCTCTCTGTCCGGTCTGACTTGTTGCCTTTTAATAAATTGACTGTAATTCAAGCAAGATAGTTCGATTATAATGAAAAATGCGGGCGGAGCGACAGCGCTCATAACTAATTTAACGTCACGCAGTGTGAGATTCTACGTCAAACCCTGTAGCACAAATGTGTTTCACATACGTCGAAACAGTGGAAGGCACAAGTATGACAAATCAGGAACCTTCTCGAACAGGAATGTTCGGTGGATCGTATAAGGTCCACGCCCACAGATGTCGCGGCGGTCTACGTTTAAGTGTCTTAATGATTAAAGATGGATCGCTCATGATACCTCAGTAGCCCCCCCCCCCCCCCGTCACAAATTATTGAGACGAATAGTACACCTGCGCGCCGACCCACATTCCACCAACCATTTACATCACCAAAGCTACAGCGGCTGAAATAGAGAGCCATCGCCACTGTATAATAATTACCGCAGTAGAACTACACAGCCCACCCACCACAATCTCCGACCCACCCACCCCCTCCTCAACTGCTTGGCCACATGGCAATGCAAACAACTGACGTTTACATCGTAAAATACTGACAGTCCACAGAATGCATAGCGAAATTATAGGATTTAAAGGACATAAACTTCTCAACGCAATTTAGCATTTTGAATTTACGTAACATTGTAGCGTCATCATTCGGCATTAACTAACTTCTACTCACGCAGAAGCCGGCAGTCAATATCTATTCTAACAGTAAACAAACTCCATAGTTAACGCCCTCTTGAGGGTCAAAGTTTATACCGCACTTACTCTCGCATAGTCACAGAAAGTAATTTCGATGTTCTTATTCAATAAAGCCATAAAAATGGTAGTTTCATGATGAAGACAAAAAGTATTCATCGCCGGTCAGACAATGTCCTCAGAAAATGTCTAAAATCTGCTGTGCCATTGACGCTTTGACGCTCACAATTTCGACACAGTGAGGCTTATCCTACAATTGATTGCATACATCCGACTATTCACGGCGCTCAGGGTCAGCGTTTAGATTGTGCCGCCAATTCTGCATTTCCTCGTATGAGTCCGTTAAGTACGGAGGGAGTTCTCCTTTTTAAAACACTCTGACTTACTGACCTTTAGTGAACGGCTCCTACAGTTCGCATCCCCAACTCTTTTCTGACTTACCGCCCGCCACGTTCGAAATCGTGACGTAACGTCGAGCGGTTAAGATTTCGTGTCGCCGCCAACCTGTCGATGCACTCGCACTTCTATCGCAGCACACGGACGGACGCACGATCATGCGATTCTACAAGCTGCATCTGACTACGTCAGATGAGCTAAAAACTATGCAGGAAGCTTTTACTGTTGCCATACTTGGTTATTCAGTACTTTGCCCCCGTGCCTACCTAATACTGATATTTCCGGTTTTTGTGATCGAACTTTCTGTAGCCACTTTTCACAGCTAGCCAGTGAGACTTCATTCGTTACATCGTAGACTAAACACACGAGGGATGGCTGTTTTATCTTAATGAAAAGAAAAAACATTGTATTATCATAGAGATATACAAACACACAAATAATGAATTCGTAATGGTTTTAATTTAGCACTAATTATAAATTCACCGAAGACTAGTGCTAATTTGATTTAACCTAATTGTACATAACTAATCTGCATTCACATTTCACTATTTTTCGAAATGGGGTAACACGAAATACTAACATATTCATCAATTTGGTCAATAAACATCTCCTTGCCAGCACAGTCGTGTATGTATAACTCGACCACGTCAGACGTCTGCGGAATGTGGATAGATTTTACAACCAGATCCGCTCCTACAGTCTTCAATGAAAGAATATTAATTAAAAACAGAGTAGCATGCAAGGGCACATAACGAGCCACAGATGCTGGATCATGTGCATGATTTATGGTTATAAATTTTTGTCTATTTCAAATTGGTATTATAATGAATACAAAAACTAATTGGTGAATATATAAATATATACATGAATATGATATATGCAGCACAAAAAGGAAGTTGCAAGTACAAAAAATAATTATTATTAGAACTGTGTGTGCGTGCGTGCATGCGTGCGCTCGTGCATAGAGGAGGCAGATAAGATGATCATGGCCGCTTGAGATATTTCACGAATCATGCATGATAATTACTAACTTATAGACTGTGACCACATGTCGAAAATGCAGATGCTGATGCAAAACTAATATTTACATACCATCGTGTAGGTCTTGGGACACTGATCATTTTTTAATACTTGAACAAGACTAGTCTTTCCGACAGTTGCGTCACCTATAATTAGAAATATATTTCATGTAATGCATATAGCTACAAAATATATATGTCAATATGTTACTGCCTAGTATAATATAGAATTATCTCCTTTTAAGCTACACATCCTAAAATGATATGTACAGATATTGCACATTGAGGATGCATGACAATTGACATGTCACATATGTGATCCTACTGTCCTTGGGCTGCAATCATTCATAGTTTGGAACCCTAGCTAGGTCGCATTTTGTGGGGATAGAGAGAGACATGAAAATCTACATGGGTCTTCTTCAGGTCAGGTCAACTAGGAGTAGGATTGGGCCACCCTTGCCTTGGTTTGGGAACTTGGCTAGGAGGCAGTTAGGAGTTCAGCAACCCGGATTAATTTAGCACATTTGCGAAAAGGCAATGGCTGGAGGTACGGCAGCCGTATCTCCAATTTACGAGGCTGGAGGGGCGGCAGTCCATTCGCTTTAATACAAACGAGACAAAGATGGCGGTGGCCAATTCAGAGTTTGAAATAATGCATTGGGAAATAAATTCATGATTTTAGAGTTTTGACGAGCTAAAAAACACTCGGATTAGGTATGAAAATGAACATTTATATTGTAAACTTTACACAAATGCCAAAAGGGACTTAATATTCAACGAACGACGGCTGCCGTACCTCCACAGGCTCCAGCAACTTTGTTGTAAAAATGAGGGCTGGGGAACAGTGTACTGTAGATTACTAGACTGTAGTAGTGTACTACTAGACTACTAGTGTAGACTGTGACTGTAGCTCTAGAACTATATAGTATATAGCCCTTCGCTCCGCCACAGGCATGTGCATGGTAGAGCGAAGGGCTATAGACTATGGAGTATAGTTCTAGAGCTACTGACACTGTGAACGTACTACTACTAGTAGTAGCACTAGTAGTACATATAGTGACTATATAATATATAGTGTATCACGACACGACATTACTGCTCGCACAACATCGCTTATCATATATGTACCTGTACTGGTACGTACGTCGACGCAGTCAAACTTGACTATTATGCGACGGGCTAGCCTAGCTTAAGTCTTTGCTATAGGCTTAGGAGACCGTTTTTGACGTTATAATATACATACTTATATACTTCTGTGTATATTGAGATTATTGACGTTAGTCACACAGCCTGGTCGAGTTAGCCTAGCTCTAGTACTAATTATAGTATACTGATAGTCTATATTATTACACAGGAAAATTCGAAAGTAATACGAAATGGTCTTCAATAGTTCAGTGTACTACTATTGTAGATCGAGCTAGGCTAGCCTAGCTCTAGTTATTGATTATTGTCCTGGATCACTGGCGGAGGCTAAGGTGACACATTAGCAATTAGGTGATGTATAGGCTGGAGCAAATGGTCGAACTTCACTGAGTGTTCGCAATAAATAGTTAAGTTAAATATATAGTCCCATATAGTATAGTTACGAAGTATAGGTGCCGGCGTAAGAACGTTGCCGCTGGCCGCTGTACAGCTTACGCTGGCCCTTTGCCCGGGCATTGAGCTGTAGCTCGCGGGCTAAGATTACTAACTAGGCTACCTAAACGATCCGAGCTCGTGTGCCCGCCGAATGTACAAACGTCGTAGGACTGCGATGTATGTATCCCGCAAATTGGAATCTGCGTACCGTTCGAGATTTGGTCAAAGCGTTTGTTGCTGAGGTCGCTAAGTAAACTGCGATTCTCGTAGTAGTCGCTGAAAAATCTTAAAGAGATGAAACACTATAGAACGTGTTGGATTCAATCACCGCCTCATATGCATGGTGGTGTAGCGTTCCGTAGCTCCAAGAAATGGTATCGCTAGGAGTTGGATATACCGTTTCGAACACGCTGAAGCGTAATACACGGTAGTTATTGCCTTAATTTAGCAACATGCCAAGAAACCACATTGATGTGATATACCGAATATATACAGTAAACGTCACTTCTGATAACACCATCAGTGCGGTCACGGATGCGGGTGAGGCCGCTGAGTTATGGTTAGCGGGTTACAGCAACTTTTTGAGATCAAATGCAACCAAAATTTGAGCATTGCCACCCCATGTTGTATCATTCATGTACTAAATACGCAATGGATCGATAACAAAGAAAACCTTATAAGATCTGCGGTCGGTGATGTCAAATTCGCACACCTCATCGATGAAATGTATCGTAAGGGTTTTTTACAAATGGCCAGACATCTATTGAACATCGGGTTGTCAATTGTTTTGGTAGTGTAATGCCTATGAGAGAGCCATGCACTTATTTCCAGTTGAGGTATTGTGCTAGGAGTTTGATCCGTTTGGGCTTTACTTCCGTCCTTATAACAGCACTGCGTTAAAGATTTGATTTTAAAGATTGAAATGAGTGGAATCAGCAGATTATACGTAATTAAGAGATAATATTCTAGTTTAGAGAGGCAGTGACATAACTGTGAGATAAGAGTTCATATTTAAACAGCAGTAGAAGGTGAGTAAGGAATAAGTGTGTAATTTGAGATAATACAGAGTTATTACACACGATTGGTCAGAGGTGATGAAGGTTTTGTGTATGGAACGGTAGTCAGGCTGTATAGATCAACGTCGCAGCAGCTGGTGGCTATAGGTGCGTGTGCAAACTGAATATTTAATCTCATGACATATCAAAAGTCTTATGCAAGTAGTTTATTATATTATCACTTAATATTTATACAAAGGTGCAATACACATTGGGAAAGAAGTAATTCTAGCACCTTTATAGTTATGATTAAATTTAACCATAATAATCATATGTTTTGTTTGCAAGTCTGTTTACCTCGATGTCCTTTATCTTCAGATTGTTCTTACAAACTGCTATGATTTCTCTTAAGATTGCGACATGAAATTCCAAGTTTTGTGCAAAATCCAATTTTGGACAATCATGCGTGCACTCCAAAGAATAGCTAGGTTAAGCGAGGAAAAGGCTAGCTATGGACTTTTATCGTATAGATGGTAATGATATGCGCATAAAATCATGATTAGCTAATTGCCTATAACTAAAATAATAACCACT